CTTTTTTCTTCATAATATCTTAATTCACAACTCAGCATAAAATCATTTTATATCTCCACATTTCATCATTTGAAGATGCTATTATTAACATTAAGAAGTAATTTTCATCCAAACTAATGGAGAAAAGAGGAAGTAATTTTCATCCAATTGAAGAAAATCTAGATGATTATTTTACATTATTTACATATATCGGACAACATTTACGATGATTATGTAAAGAAAAAATGGATTATGATTTTAATTTTTGGATATCCCTTCCCACATAATTAGGATATTTTTTTTGGTAAGTAGAGTATTATTATAGAAGGTAAAAGTTAAAACAAATGGTATATAAGAACATCTTCAACGATATGTTAAAATAATCTTTTGTGTAAAATATACACCGCCCATATGTAAATATTTTTCATCTCCAGCCGCCGTGTGTTAAGATACATTGACACATCACCAATGTGTAAATACACAACCTTTTTATACTACCAGATCAACATATTTCCTTTCTCATTCATCTTTCTCATTCCATTAAAAAATCAACTATATATTAAGTAGGTTTGTAAAAATTATGTGGAGTCCTGACATGACACATGGTTGGTTATTTTTGGGAGATATATTTTTACACAAAAGGTATAAAATAACCGTTGTAGCTAAAATTAAATAATCCAAATTTTTTTGTGTAAATCCATCAAAATATATATATACACACACCACGGTTGGAGATGCTCTGAGCATCTCTAATGGTTGTCTATATTTTATTTTTTTGGACTAATTATTTTTAACTCTAGTAATTATTTTATACATTTTTTGTAAAAATATATTTGTCAAATAATAATCAATGCCCAGTCTTCACATAACTTTTACAAACCGACTTAACATATAGTTGATTTGTTAATGGAATGAGAAAAAGAGAGGAGAGAGAAAAAATGTTAATGTGGCTGTGTAAAAAGGATTGTACAAAATAACAACAATTTTACACATTGGTAAGGTGACAATGTATCTTAACATACTACTGAAAAAAAAAAAAGAAAAAAAAAAAAAGAGTTTTACAAGTATATATTTTACACAAAAAGGTCTCTTAACACACTGCTGGAGATACTCTAAAATCATAACACACTCTTGTGGTCTCACACTTCTCCATTTGGTAGAAAGGAAGAAAATTAGATGGAAGAAAGAAAGAAAAAATGAAAGAAACATCCCTATGAAATAGATTGTATTCCTTCATCTTTTTGTTTGGTTGAATGGAAGATAATAGAGTGAGATAATACCTTATTTTGTTTGCTAGGAAATAAGAAAAGAGAAAGTGTTAATTATAAAGAAAAATTTGTAGTTTAAAAAGTTTTATAATAGCTTTGCCTTTTTTCTCTCGCGTCTTCCCTCCAAATATAGAAGGATAAAAACTTGTGAAAGAGAAAGATGATTCATTCATTTTTTCTTTTTTTCCTACCAAACGTAATTCTAATTAATTAATTAGATTAAACTCATAATCTAATAATATATAAGCAATATGTATATATAATACATAAGTAAAGTAATAATGTAACTAATGTCTATATAGAATATAGACTATATATAATATATATATATAGAATGTATAATTGTATATGTCTAATTAGAGAATGAAGTTTTCCTATATTTCCTCCACACACCTCTTTCATCCTTCCTATCAAACGAAGCATAAGTCACACAGAGCGGATGCAGGTGCGGGAGAATAAAAGTGACAAAATCTAAGTTATACATAGTGGGATCGGGAGCAGCAACGCATGCAGAGCGTGAGAGCAGCACCTATTTAAAAGAATTATATGACTTAAGTCTCACCTAAGGCTCTGTTTGGTTAGATGAAAATAATAAAAAAAATAAAAAATAAAAAAATTCTAAACACTTTAAATCTCACCTAATGCTCGATTTGGTTAGATGTAAAATTTTTTTTTTTTGCCTTTTACTTTGCACTTCCCATCATTAATTTCTATCTAACCAAATATATCTTTAAAAAAAAAGAGGAAAAAAAAAAAATTGTATTTCGGAAGAGATGAAAAATGCAACCAATAGAAATAATGCTCTTACACCTCGAGGTTAGGAAAGCAAGGGATAGTTATGTATGATAACATGAAACAACAAACAGGTTCAAAATCCAATTAGCAAGTGAAAGAACATGAATTCTTGCATTCTTGGCTTTTTGAAAATTTAAAATTTTTGGTTTTTGAAATTTTATTTTCTATATAGAGAGCAGGAGCTAGAGAAGTATAAATTGCTCTCTCTCTCTCTCTCTCTATATATATTTATATCAATTATTATATATTTTTTCAGTATTCTAGGCAGTAACAAGTCCTGGCGTCAATCCCAATTTGATTCAGAATATCAAATCCACTTCCCCAAACCTTATACATTACATAAGCAAAGTTATATTTTTGACTTGGTTTAAAATGATTTCCCCCAAATGAAGCACCAACGTTTACGTTACGAAGTGTGCATGTTTCTGATACACGAAAACTTGGCTTCATCGACGGATCTGACTAATGGCTACTTCAACCCCTTTTTGCTTTATGTTTACGTACTAAAATATCTATCATTTTATTGTTGAAAATTAGAGATATCTATGGTTTTTTTATTTATTTTTATTTTATTTTGACTATAGCAATTGCACATCAGCCTTCCTGTAAAAAGTCAAGGGGTCATTTAGCAACATTCATGTTTATCATGTGTTTAATGCTTAGAGTTTAAGTTTTTGTTTCTGTATTTTTGGGTGGGTGAGATTTTATATCTATTCTACTGAATACACATGTTAGTTTTGAGACCCGATAAGACATACTTGTGAAGGTGATATGTAGTGAAAATATATTCTATCATTATAATATCTCTATCAAATTATAATGAAATCTTTCTTTGACAAAAAACAATTGGTTACTTCACGAAATTATTCTCATATAAACATGAAGAAAGTGAAAAATAATTACATGTTAGGATGTAATGAAATTAAAATATCATTTCTCTTTAAAAAAATGATGTTTGCTTTGCATTCAGATCAAGTCAATACTCACCAATGGGCTCGCAGAGGCCTGTGAGTGCTGGTACTATTGTGTGTCTTTTTATTTTCGACTAAACATCTTCTTCTCTTAAAAATATTAGGGATACACAGTTGGACATTTATACGAGTCAACCTCAAATAATGTGAGTGATGAGTAGGGATACACACAGTTCAGTTTGGATTGAATTGGGAGTTTTTTTAGACCAAATCATTTATAACTGTTCTACTATTTTTAAAACCAGACCGACCCATAATGCCCATGATACCAAACCAAACTAAACCACGAAAAACTAATTTGATTCGGTTCAGTTTGTCGGTTATAATACATTAGGGAACCGACTGTGACCAGATGATAATCACATATGCATTGTCAATAATATCAAACACATGTGGAAGAAACAAACAGACAGTGACAAGATGACCATAAGGAAAAAAATACAACATTCCTTGTTTACCATTTACGAGGTTGGGAAAAGAAAAAGAAAAATACCATTTACAAGGTATTGGGAAAAGAAAAAAAATCAACTCAAAATTTCAAAAAATAAGAGAGATCAAGTACGGAATAGCTAATTTTTCAAATCTCCAACTATTATAACTATTTCTTGTCATGACTAAAAAGTATATACACTTAGTTCACTAACCACTATGAAGTTGAAAAGAATATATATATATATATATATATATATATATATATATATATATAAAAGTTATATAATGGTTCGGTCTATGCCGGACCGGTCCTGCAGGATCCCAAATCAAGATCGAATCAAAAAATTACGATTTCATAATTTTGAACCCAGGACCGGACCAAACCACTATATAACTAGCTTAAATGGCCTAGTTCAGTTCGGTCCGATCCGATTTTTCAATTTACCGAATTTTTTAAACACCCCTAATAGTGAAGAGGTGAGACACATTCAAATTCAAATGCAAAATCATTTTTCAAATTTAAAAGAACTCAATATTCCAAACGGAAAGTGTGTCGTAATAATACGTAGCTTGAGATACTAATAATTATTATTATTTTTAAACGCCAATATAGAATCTCCATATAAAATTCTGTCTACAAAATGTTAAAGAGGGACCATAAGTAGCATTCCTTTTTGGTGTTTAGATTATGACAACTTTTGTGAAATGCTAAGAACAAAAAAATAAAAAATAGAAATGGAGTAATTTGGACGAATACAAATTAAGTATGATAAATAGGTTTGCCATCCTTAAAAAAAAGAAAAAAAGAAGGGAGGAATAGAAAGAAAATAGCTACAACCTTTAATGAAATTTCTCTAATACTAATTTTACCCTTATTTTAAACAAAATTAGAATACCTTAATGCATGTTTTTATTCTCTTGTGCTCATATTATTAATTGAACGTGAACGGTATTTAACATAATCTTTATATTTATCTCATCACTTCTTATCTATATATTTTGTTGTGCCTCCTCTCTATTTTGATTGAACGTGAACGGTACAAACACAAGAATAACAAGACACAAGAGTATCAATGTTTTCCCTCTGCAATGAAAGGCTCTACATATATATATATATATATAATTAATTAATACTTTTATGTCAATTAAATAAGTATCTTATGATTTTATATTGTGGAGGATGGATTTTTTTTTTTTTTTTTTTTTTGAATGGTATTGTGGAGGATGGATTAATCTGTACTATGAATTGAACAGTCAAAGATAGATTCGGTATTATGTTTTTTTCCAATTTTGCATGAAAAACTAGTGTAGAAAAACAGAGTACAGTCACCAAACATTAAAACGCTTGCAATGGTGTAACCAGCTAGCGACTACCCGTTGCTCTTCCCACATCTATTTAACTCCTCCTCCATTCTTCTCACATTGTCAGGAAAGAAAGAGAGAGAAAATCCCACCAATCAAGTTACTTCCATATATGAACATATATAATGTTTAGAGAGAGAGAGAGGGAAGGGTCCGAAACAGCAGTGAAGTAAAGATTTTTGGGGAGAGAGAAATGGGGGATTGTAAGGGAAGGTTGTGTTCATGGTGGTCATCATCTTCATCGTCAAGGCTGCTGTTGTTTATGGCACCATTGGTTGTGGTGGCAGGGTTAGTGGCTTTACTGGGTCCAAAGACCTCCAATTGGGTTTTTACTTCTCATTACAGTCCATGGATATGGAGGTCTTCTGTACCTCCTCTTTCATCTTCTGTTTCGTCAACAAAAGAAAAGGACAATACACATCCAGATTTGCAGCCCAGGATGGTATGTTTAATTTTATTTATTTATTTTATTTGCAGTTCCAATGTCCAAATTTGAATTCATTTTTATGGTTTTTCAGTCGCTTTTTCAGTGATGATAGATTAGTTGTACTGCATAATAGTGCTTGATTCAATGAGGAAATGAATAGAAAATTTTGATTTTAATTTTCTTGATTCATCATAGTTATTTGTCGTGTAAAAGTAAAAGTAAATTTTACCCCTTTTGGAACATTTGTAATGGGCTGACAAGAACCTTCAACTCCTCAAAGGGTCACACATCGGATGCAGTGCTTGGTGTAACACTGGGCTCACTCGAAAGGACGATCAACGGATTAAAGATTAATAACACTTGTCATCTGATTAAAAAGTTTAAACTTTTAGACAGTGCTATATACGTGCCTTTAAATGCTAACTTTTTTTTCCAAATCCGATGTGGAACAACACCCTCAATCACCATTCCTTGTGAATGTGTAATTGTTTCTTTGACAGTGTTGGTTCTCTTCGAATTGATCGTGCTTGATTAGCAAATAGAAAACGGGTTATGAACTCCGCCTAGGCAGTGGAAGGTCCTGAAATGACGAAGAGGAAAAGCCCCCTGAGACAGTAGAGGACGGTTGATTTTTTAGTATGAACATTTTTTTTTTTAATTTAATGTTGTAAATAATTAATTAGTGATACATGAAATTAAACAATGTTTGCTTCTTTGTCAATGTCACTAGCAATTCAGCAATTTAGAGAGGCTGGAGGCTGGTCTTGGACAAGCTCGAGCTGCAATAAGAAAAGCCAAAAATGGAAATCAAACACAAGACCCTGACTACATCCCAAATGGTCCAATGTATTGGAATGCCACTGCCTTTCACAGGTACCCATTTGAAAATTAAAGCCTACTAAGCTTTGGATTTAAGTATTCGATCTCACCATTTGTTCTTCGTTGCAACTTACTGCAGGAGCTACTCGGAAATGGAAAAACAATTTAAAGTATTTATCTATGAAGAAGGAGAACCACCGGTTTTTCATTACGGTCCCTGCATGCACACATATGCAATAGAGGGATTCTTTATCCAGAATATGGAGATCAGTCGGTTTCGGACTAGAGATCCCGAAAAAGCTCATGTCTATTTCCTTCCATTCAGCGTGACAATGATTACTCAAGTTATTTATGTTGCTGAAACCCATGAATGGGGTGACATGAAAAATACAGCTGTTGACTATATCAATGTTATTGCCAATAAACATCACTATTGGAATCGAAGCCTTGGAGCTGATCACTTCATGCTTGCTTGCCATGACTGGGTAAGACAACCTTGCTTTGCTTAAAAGTGTATTATCATATAACCGTGTCTTCTATAGTTCTCTGAAAAAACTGTCAGTGTTGTAGGGGCCTGAAATATCCTTTGCCATTCCTTACTTGTACGAGAACGCCATTCGAGCTCTATGCAACGCAAACACCTCAGAAAGATTCAACCCCGTCAGAGATGTGTCCATCCCGGAAATCCATCTCCCAAATGGTAAAACAGATGCAATGATGGGCGGTCCGCCCCCGTCAGAACGTTCAGTCCTGGTTTTCTATGCCGGAGGTGTTCACGGCCCCATCAGGCCAATTCTACTAGAGCATTGGGAAAACAAGGACAAAGATGTGCAGGTCCACCAGTACCTTCCAAAGGGTGTGTCATACTATGGCATGATGAGAAAGAGCAAGTACTGCATTTGTCCGAGTGGCTATGAAGTGGCGAGCCCGAGAATGGTGGAGGGACTTTACATGGGTTGTGTACCGGTGCTCATTAAGGACCATTATGTGATACCATTCAGTGACGTTCTAAATTGGAAGACATTCTCTGTTATAATCCCAGTTGAGGACATTCCCAATCTGAAGAAAATTCTAATGGGTATCTCTCAAAAACAGTACATAAGGTTGCAGAGGAGAGGAATGCAAATGAGGAGGCATTTTGAGGTCAATTCACCTCCAAAAAGGTATGATGTGTTTCACATGATACTTCATTCAATCTGGCTTAGAAGACTCAACATCAGAGTCCATGACATTGAGGAACAAAATTCACTGATTAGTTGATATATAGTACTAGTTATTTATGCCATGAGTCTGATTGATTTGTAGAGGTTCAGTTGTGATATTGTGCAAATTTGTTTCATTCAATAAATTATTTGAAAGTATTTAGGTTGGAAAATGATTGGTCAGATTCGGATGACGTTATCATTATTCGTTTAGATTACGATGCTATCCAAGTCGAATAAATTGTTACAATTTATGAAATCGTCTCATGAATCATTTTCCTTCAGATTTTCTTTGTAAGCACAGGCTGCATAACTTAACAAATACTAGTATGTAAAAAAAGAAGAGCTGGTCAAATGAATTGATTGATTAGTTGGTAATCCTCGTGGTTTTGGGTTATGGGGATTCCAATATCAGTAAAGGGATAATCTAGTGGCTGGAACATTATGGGCTCAATGATACTTAGGCTTCGTTATTCTTTATTTGGTGACTTGGAAGGAAAACTTAATTACTACTCTTCATATGATTATAAATTTAAATCTACTTTCATGATAGGCTTACCGTTGACCCAGCTGATCAAGTGATGGTTGAGGTTCATTGGGATACATTTTCGGATTGAGTAATGCCAGACTTTGTGACACTTTGACTTGTTTGAGTGCGATTAACATGTACTATTCGAATACGTCTGTGGGCTCATTTGGTGATGAACTGGGAGCCTAGGTTCAGGCCTTAGTAGTGTGGGCCTCGAAAAGAGGATGGGAAACTCGGGCCTTTCAAAATTGTAGATGACATTAGGATGGGTTCGTGCTGGCTCAGCCCGTGTAGTCCTATTAAAACTTTCTGATTTTACACAGAGTTCTGTTATGTATGATCCAATGATTCACAGCATTCTACGTGGGATTAATTTTGGCTTTGAGATATACATATATATATATATATATATAAGATAGTATTTATTAAAGAATACTATCTTATTTATTAATATATATATATTTATATTTGAAAATAACGTAGTGTTATGTAATGAGAGATGAACTGATGTAAAAAGCTTTACTCTACTCAACCCATTTATTGAATTTCGGAAAAAAAAAAAAAAAAAAAAAAAAAAAAACTATTTATTGAAATTAGTTAAATACCTAAATTGGCATCCTTAAAATTAGAAAATAAGTTGTCAAGCAGGTTAAAACCATTATTGTATGGGCGTTAAGTTGGCCCTATATTCAAATATGAGGCTGACAGAGAGAATTGGGATGCAATTGCATCATTTTTATTCATTTCTTCATCAATCTTTGACCGTGTTTTTTTAATCTGAACCTCTATCTAATTAAGTAATTTGATTTTAAATTTTAATATCAATTTTGCAAAAGATTTATTCTCATGAGTTATCTAAAATTAATACATGTATAATTTATATAGAAAACAGTCTCTCCAAACTAAGAATATATATATATATATATATATATATATATATATATATATATTGATCCTTCAAGATTCGGCGATCGACAATGATAAGAGTCTCGTGTGTAGTGGGTTTGTTTCCTTTTTCTTAATATATAATGCATGATTTACATATTACTTAAGTAATCAATTAATTTTTATTGCTTAAAAATAAAAAAGAAATTACATTAGTGTTTCGTCAAAAAAAAAAATAGAAAACAATCTCTCGGCACCCAAAGTTAAGAATATATATATATTTGATCTTCCAAGATTCGATGATAGACAATGATAAGAGTCTCGTGGGGTGAGTTTGTTTCCTTTTTCTTAATATATAATGCATGATTCACACATTACTTAAGTAACCAATTAATTCTTGTTGCTTAAAAATAAAAAAGAAATTATATTTGTGTATTGTCAAGAAAAAAATAGTGACTTTGCTTATTCCGTTAAGGCGTTGGAGTGAAATATGTGATAAGAAAGAAAGTAAATTTTTTTTGGTTTTTTGAAAAAAAGAGAGAGAGAGAGGAAGGTATGTGTAATTAATGGAAATGTAAGATATATACTGTATATTTTACCTAGCAAATCTAAGATTTATTAGTCTAAATTAAAATTAATAATAAGAAGAAAGCAAAAAAAAAAATTAAGACCCGACCCACCGATCATTCAAGCCTATCCATCAGAATGACTCCCTCCAGCCAGAGACCACATTTAAAACTGCTCGAATCCCCAAAATACGCTCTCAATCATTCATTCACCACCTCTCTCTCTCCCCTCCTGAACATTCTCTAGGGGAAAACGAAGAACACATTGTTAACTGTTGGAATCATTAATTAATAAAGGTACGTCATGTCTGTCCCAAGAATGTCACTCTCTTTTTCTTTTTTCTTTTTCCTTTTTCTCGGAAATTCATGCAATTGTATATAATACTATCATGTATATAACCTGTCGATACAACTATATATATGGAGTAGTTGTGAATATTAATATCTGGGTTTGTGTCTTTAGACAGAGAAATGATTACAGTTCTGGGAATCATTAATTGGGTTTAATGAAAGTATGGGGATATTGAAAGAAACAATGTTGTGTGGCATGAAAATGAAATTAGAGAAAAAAAAATTCTTGTTTAAATCAATTTCTTTTCTTTCCTTTTTTATAATTTTTTATTTTAAGAAACCAATTCAATGCTATTGAATATTTTTACAAATTTAGAGTACATGTTAAGAAACAATTAATTAGCGTGGATATTTTGTTATTTAACTTTTAGGACCAACTTCGAAATATGAAAAGAGTATTCAGGATTGTTAGGTTCGTTTAGCAATTTGGGAATGATTTGGAAATTTAAATTCAGAGGAAAAAAGTATGGTTGGTCTTTAAACAATTTCGAATGGTCAAAAAATTATTTAATTTTGTTTTTAGAATAAAGTTCGACATCATCTGTTCGATGAAATGTCTAAGGATTTTTTTTTTTTTTTTTTTTGCCCTTTTTCTAAAGATGTTAGTAGGACTCCAAGATAGTAAAATGTCTCAAATTATTTCTTCATGGAAATTTCTCAAATCATGCAATTGGTTATCTCTAAGTTCAGATCGTTCGTGTTGTATAGTATAGTAGGTCTTAAACAAATTGGGAATATTTGGAAATTTAAAACCGGAGAAAAAAAGTATAGTAGGTCTTAAACAATTTTGAATAGTTGAAAAAATATTTCGTTTTGTTTAGAATAAAGTTCAACATCATCTGTTCGATAAAATGTCTAAGGATTTTTTTTTTTCTCTTTTCCTAAAGATGTTGTTAGGACTCCAAGATAGTGAAATGTCTCAAATTATTTCTTAGTAGACATTTCTCAAATTATGAAGTTGGTTATCTAAGTTCAAATTGTTCGCGTTGTTTAGCAATTTGGGAATATTCGGAAATTTGAAATTCAGAGGAAAAAAGTATAGTATGTCTTAAACAATTTCAAATAGTTAAAAAAATATTTAGTTTTATTTAAAATAAAGTTCAATATCATCTGTTCGATGAAATGTCTAAGGATTTCTTTTTCCCCCTAAAGAAGTTAGAATGCACTACGGCCTAGGGTTAGTTTAAAGACATAAACACATCAATATATTACTGCTAACTTTCGATTTTAAAAGTCAAAGTAGTAACAACAATTGCTCAAGTGGGCCCGGACACACCCACGATAAAAAAATTAAAAAATAAATAAAATAAAGTAACAACAATAATAATACCAACAGGGCGATGTTAGGACTTCAAGAAAGTGAAATGTCTCAATCTTTTCTTAACGTGTCAATACCATTTCTCATGTCATGAAGTTTGTCGTATAAATTCAATTAACTTGAGTCAATTGTCTCACAAGCAATAGAAACTTATAAAAACAAAACATTCCGTAAAATAAAATACTCTCTCACTGTTTCATCATGCCTTGTGAAAGAGCGTTGTCTTGATTTGTATGGCTACACCCTTTATGTATAGTCGGTACAAGTCAACTCAATTTGTATATCTTCTCATATTAGTAACATGTGAATTTTTTTTTTTTTTTTCCTCTCTCTCAATGGATACTAAGCAATTTGAAACTCTCATAGTCGTGAATTGACTTCCCAAATGTTGCTTTTGATAGATCATCAGCTTTCTTAATTCCTCACACCCCAATAGGAAAAGGAACAATAATACTAATTTTAATCAGGTAAGCAATGCATTTGCTTTTAAACTTTAAACTTTTTCGAAGCACTTCCCCAGTTAATGAATATAATGATTTCTGCAAATGAATTGGTTTGCTTTTAGGATCATGAATTCTCAAGTCTCAACAATGACTTAAATTAGATGAGAGTCAAGAGTTTAAAACTTCTTGGAACATATAATGAAAGTCCCCCAAGCCAAAGGATCATAAAGTACTATCATAGAAGGGAAATCTTACTTTTTGATTAGGAAAATTGGTAATGAAATAAACATTCTATAGATGGAGGATTAATTATAATGTTATTTCTTGCATTTTATTTTGTTACATGTGTGAGAGTTTAAGATCGACCCCATGTAATTAAATTAAGGGCATTATTAGTGTTGAACTAATTCATTTATTTATGCATTTACCGAGGAAAAAAAAAACCTCTATTTTTTCTAAGAATGCCAGAAATCTTATGTAAGTTTGTACTTGACTACTTTGGTGTGAGTTTGATGAATATTTATAAGAATTCATGCTTGTGATACATCAAAATTTAACCAGACTTTACCTTGTCTTAACCCACGTATATATTTATAAAATCTTAATTAAACTTCATTATAATACAATTTCTTATGACCCATGTAATGTATCATACAAATACAATTTTAAAATTTTAAGCTGATTATAATAGAAATTTGAGACACAATTCATTACGCGGGTATATATAACCTCGAATTTGTTCAGGTAGCTGTACTTTGACCATGCCAGCCTACTAGTGTGTCTTTCTCTTTTCATTTGAAGAGAACAAAAATAACTTGGCTTCTTTATAGGCCCATCACAATCACATGATCATCGTATTTGTTTATGCATCAATAAGTGTTGGACTTTTTGATCAATTATGCTTCTTTGTTTTTTTTATTTTATCTTCTTGTACTTCCTCTCTCTCTCCTTCACACACACACACAT